GCCTAACTTCGGCCCGCTTGTCCGCTTGCTTTAATGTTGTAGTAGGTAGGGTAGCCTTGGTATCAGTCGTCTGGATTGATGGTCTGTCTTCTTGCCCATCTGTCTACAGGCTTGCTCTCCTGATGGTACAGCAATCGTTCGGAACGCCACATACTAGCACCCGACCAGAATGTCCACCTTCAAAGTCCCAACTCCCAAGTCCTGTCATTCCTGCCTCACGTCGCACGGCAACATCCACCTGGCCGAGTGGTATAACAGATATCCTCATGTACTATGAAAGAGGGCAAATGTGGAGAAGATGGCCTCATTTACTCGGTAACCCAGACATGCTAATTTCCCTTTTCTCCCATCTGCACAGGTCAGACATGACGCGACTCCCCCCGGCCTTCCGGCCTTCTTCATACCAACTTTTCTACAGTCCAGTCGAGCAATGCTTCAAAATATCTGTCGAATCGAGTGGGGCTTCGTCGAAAGCCGAGTTTACGCATTCACGAAATCAAACTGTCGGCCTAATGAAGTTGCATAATTATTCGTAGGAAATAGGACAGAACAGATGAAATTAGCCCTCATTTAAGTCAACACATTCGAGCAAAAGGAACCTCTTTCTCAAAAAAATATGACCATTGCATTCATGAAAAACAGGAGAATATCACCGACGGAAAGCCACTCGAGTTGTTCAACAAAAAGGACATACAAACCTTTGACAACGAGCGCAAGAGATGCGAGCACTGAGGAGTGATTTGGCTATTCCTTGCTCCACAATGTATCCATTACATATTTGACATTAGTTTCGTCTCATTAATGCAAATTTGTCATGTTTACAGTGAGTCCTTGGAGATTATAATCCGTACCTTATCGTATGTCACTGTTGTTGTGTCTTGATCCAGCCTCAAAACAGTAACTGGGCGCAGTACTAGAAATTGCATAAGCATCGAGGTCGAATACGACATGCTTGATGCGTTAGTCACGTTGGCGAGTTAAGGATTTGTGCTAAGGCTGGTGCTATTAATCAAAGATACGTCCATAAGTGCTGAATTCAGAAACCACGCAAAGCAACCAATCTTGAGGAGTCTATTAGGGCGATCTTCTGTCTGAGAACTAGAATGAGGCTGAACCATATCTACAATGAAACAGGAAACCTCTACCAAACGTTAGTCACACCATCGTGGTCTGCATATATACGTTTTAAATACATACTTTGTTTACAAGTTTCCTATAAAACTCGTAAGTTAACAATCCTTAATGGAATACCTCTGGTGGGGAGAAATTTAATAATTATTTTTACTAAAATCGAAGGTATGAAGACCAAGATGGTATGGCCTTTTGTGTGGTCGCAGTCTCCTTTCGTTGTATAGATGTTGCTTGACCTTGTTTTCGAAACTCGGTCATGTTGGTAGGAAGACCTAGAGGAACACACCTTGTCCAGAGTCCATTGTATGCATCATTATTTCCAGAGTAGGACCGTGAATGTGGTACATTCCCAGATGTTTCGCCAGCATCGTCAGTGAGTCTTGCCATTCGTAGCACCATATTACAACTCATCGTCTCTGACGAGTTCTGATATGGTGATACGAATGGCAAAACTCACTCACGATGCTGGCGAAACATCTTGGAATGTATCACGTCCACGGTTCTACTATGGAAATAATGATGCATATAATGGACTCTAGACAAGGTGTGTTCCTCTAAGTCTTCCTACCAACATGACCGAGTTGCGAATACAAGGTCAAACAGCTTCTATTTTTTACTAAAACTTTTTAAGTAAAGATTGTAGATCCTGGATTTATTTTCTCAACAGATTAGTTCGAAACCCTAGTATGCTCTATGCAGCATTAAACCATAGACTGCCAATGAAAATAACAATCTGGAAAAGAAAAATGTTGTACAAGCTTTCCACTTATTAGTGGTTTTTGTTCCGTCGAGGGTAACTGCTACTAATGAGAATATCAGTAGAATAGTGTTATAGTCCAAAATTACAGTTAATTATCGATATACAATTCCAAATCAAATGATGTAAACGGTAGATGGCTTGCTATGCCCAAGCGTTAACCAGTTAACTCGAATAAAGTGTACTCAATGTTGTTTAGAAATTGCGTGGATAATAGTTAAGTTGGTTGAGTCGAGATCCAGCCTCGAGTCTTGTTGTGCCTTGTTATGCAGACTGCCTAAATGAGCATAAATTGTAGTCAAGGGTAAACTGTTAGCAGTTAAGTGTAATTTGATGAGAATAAAAGTATTAAAAGTTGTTTGACCTTGTTTTCGCAACTTGGTCATAATGGTAGGAAGACTGACAGAAACGCACCTTGTCCT